CGCGAGCAACCCCTTCACAGCAATATGTGGGAGTGCATAGCAGTCCACTTGGCAATTACCCAAAAATTTCGCCAGTACCTCATCGGCCTGAAGTTTTGCCTCATCAAAGACAACTGGACAGTCGCCTGCCTGACATCGAGCCTGAAGCCCTCGCGGCGCTTCACTGGCACGCTCATGGACCTTACAAAATTTGACTTCACGGTGCAACACCGGCCCGGACGTCAGAATGTGGTAGCAGACATGCTATCTCGCCTTTCTTGTGCTACAGTCACACCTACCACTGCGCTTGCTGACAAGCAAAGAGAAGACAGTGACTGCTCCGTCATTCGCCAACAACTCACCTCGAGCGGTGATGCCAACGACGAGTACCTCGTCTTAGACGACGTCCTCTACCGCCGCCTTTCCGCTGACCTCAATGTCATCGTAGTGCCGGCCAAAATGCGTCAACACGTCTTGGAACTTTGTCATGACGGCAGCGGACACATGGACCTCACTAGAATCCTCTCCAAGGTCGAGTGCCGCTACTGGTGGCCATGCGTGTCAGCGACCATCTTGCACTACGTCGAGTCATGCCTCACCTGCCAGCTGAACAACAGGCCTACAACGAAATCGGTCGGACTCATGGGCTCCATGCCAACCACCGAACGGCCTTTCAGCATAATCGCAATGGATCACGTCTCCATGTGCTCAGCCGACAGTTCCAAGTACATTCTGAATGTTATCGACTTCGCTACTTGGTACATCGTCCCTGCCGCAGTAGCAACCACGTTGGCATCGGAAGTCATACGCCACCTCCACGAAGTATTCCATGTGTATGGCGCCCCTGACCACGAACGTGCATTTGAGTCCAGGCAGTTCCTGCGCTTCATGGCCCATCATGGAGTCACCCTGCACTATTCAGTGGCTTACAGAGCAGCCAGCAATGGCCTCGTTGAAAGGAACAACGCAACCCTCGTCGCAGTGCTCAGAAAGCTTTGTGGTGCTCAGCCGGAAACATGGGAAAGGCAGCTTACGCAGGCTGCCTTCGCAGTGAACACTGCATACAACGCGTCGTTGCAGTTTTCGCCCTTCGAGCTTCTCTACGGCTATACGCCCAAGCTCCCCCGCCAACGACATTGCCCTGTGAGCACAACCAGCCTTGAGGATCGTCTCCTCAACCTCTGCGCGACTAGGTCGCAGGCTTCCGCCAACGCGGAGAGTGCAAGAGATGGTCGTCGCCAGCGGTACGACCGCGCACATCGCGAGCAACAGCACTTTCATTCTTTCATCCCGGACAGCTTGTTTGGTTACGCCGCCAAGAGCCTGTCACAACCACCTGCGAAAAGATGGCACCCCGTTTTAAAGGGCCCTACCAGATTCTCGAACTGAAGACGCCGACAACGTATCTTCTGCAGCGTGTCTCGTACAGCGACGACGGCGAGTCGCGTACGGCAACCGACACGAAAGTCGCCCACGCAAGCCAGATCAAGCAGTTTCATCACCCCTACGTCGACGAAACCCTGCTCGTGCCCTCAGGAGAATCTCCGCCCGACAGCCAAGACGTACTCCTCGAACGGGACAGTCAAATGGTTTCCCCCGCGCATCCTGAGGATATGCAAAACGACTCCCACCTAACAAGCCCCGACTCCATTGACCCAGTCGCGGAAGAACAAACGCCTCTAGCGCGCTCAGAGCGTGCTCGAAGGCCTCCTTCCTGGCTTCGAGACTTTTTGAGTGACTAATGCTCTCCCAAGTGGACTTGGACAGCTTTGGGAGGGGTGGGATGTGAGCGAGCCCACGTCGTATAGCACGAGCCCCCCTCGAAGGGCCCCACGGTCTCCCCACCGCAAGACCGCAACGCCAAACCACCAGCTCACCGCACTCACTAAGCTTCCCAAGCCTTTCCCTCTCGCCCGTACGCTGTCGCCACCGCCATCTCAAGTGTCTCCCCTCACTCCCCTCCGCATTCTCAGACAGCTCTTCCCCGCCTCCTTTGCTGTGTTTTCATTCCGTGCCCGCTTACTTCGCTTTGTGTGACAGACCCCTTCGCCTCTAGCCCTCTGAACATGTAATCCTCTAAGCTCTTCAATAAAGTCCCTAATTATCATTTCTACGCCCTGCCTCAGCCCTGCCATGCCTCACAGAAGCTTAAAAAAAAGAAGGTTTTCGCCGCTGGCTGAACGTGCATTTTCTTAACTCGGCTTAGAACGTCTGGCTCACGGCGTTCGCAGCACCTAGAGCCGTACAAAGGCACAGGAAAAAGAGCGTCATATAAATCTCGACTTAAACGTTTCTGCGTCACTCCAGACAGATAATCTAATGAAAAACAAACCGACAAAACTGGAACGCGGTGACGACTTCGTTCAAGAACGCACTGGGTCGGCCAAACTCAAGATTACACGACGAAACAATAAACGGAGGCACATGTTGAGACAGTCTCGTTTGTAACACTGTACGTAGAAAAGGATCTGCTTAATCTCGGAGAAACATAAAACGGGAGACAACTTGTCTATCCAGAGGTGCGACAGCGGAAGACCACCTTCAGAAACACGACAAAAAAAGTTGTCCCGGCTGAGTTTCTCCCACCTAGACTGACATATAAATACCGGAAAAATACGGTGTAGCTTCTGGAGATTCATAAGGGAAAAGGTGATGGCTTGAAGGACGTACCACATTTTTGCGATTAAAAACACATTGCGCACTGTGGCGGAAGTAAAAACTGATAATGCATTTCCGTTAAATTTACGCACTGTCTGCCTGGCTTCATCAATCACTGCTAGCCAATACGTACTGTTTTTTTTTTGTTTTCTTTTTTTTATAGTGTTGAAGAGGCACCCCAAGGCACAAGGAACGCGTCAGAAAAAAAAATGTATATTTTCACGGTCTCGCGCCTTAATTAAAAGCCACGCCAAATCCCAACACATTTCTGCCAATTAACAGAAGCCCTGGTTGCTTGACAGCAGTTTTTAATCATTAACACTGTTTCAAAAACGCTCAATTTGTCGCGGCAAAACACGGCCACATCGTCCGCATACGCTAGCAATTTTACCTCCGTGGAAAGTAATAGGAACCCATGTATAATTTCGTTTTGAATTATGCTGCGACAGAAGGGCTCTAGATATATATTGATTACTAAAGGCGAAAGCGGACATCCCTGTCTCACAAATAAGAGCACTGGGATGGGCTCACTTAGGCGTCCGTTAACGATCAGTTGCGTAGTACATCCGCTATACGCCATTTGCACGCTAGCAAGAATAACTTGTCCTACCCCAGCAACACACTGTGTTGTACACAATCGAAGGCTTTTTCTAAATCTATTTGTAGCATGGCTATTTTGTTTGGATCCATATTGCAACACTCAAGAACACTACGCGCGCAAAGAATGTTCTTAAAATAGTCCGCCCCTTGATCTCACATGTTTGGTGTGTACCAACGATCTTATGGATGACAGTTTCAAGCCTCCGCGCAAGCACTTTCATAAAAATCTTATAATCCGCATTGCTCAAGGCAATCGGTGTATAATTTTTTACATTCTTTTATCGTTTTTATCGGCTACTTTCGGAATAAGAAACGTGTGACTATTTAAAAAGAAATTTGCAATACTCTTGTCTTACATGCATCTGAGATCACTCTATGAAGCTGTCGTGCTAAAAAATGTTTTGTGAGCAGCCGCGTTTAAACCATCAGGGCCAGGCGTTTTCCCTGCTTGTAGTTCATCTACTGCGGCACCTATTTCGTTTATTTCAATTGGCTGTTCAATCCGAGCGGTCGTTTCTTCTTCTAACCTTGGCATCAATTTTAAAAAGGTGCTATCGAACTTCGTCAGGATTGAGGGCTTTGTCTCACTGACATAGCTGACTGTAAAACTCGACGAATGCATGCCCAATCACTTCGTCAATTGTACTTATCGAGCCCTGATACTGTATTTCACAGGTTATCTTTTTACTTGCGTATTGCCTTTCTCTGCTGAGCGCTCTTTTGGTAAATTGTTCATCAAGAAAATATTTCTTGGCACGACGATTTACTTACAGAGCCTCTATACTACTCAGTCTCAATTGCTGATAAACTATTTTTGGCGTCCTGATCTCATTAATCAATTTACCAGGACATTACCATTTTAACTTGAAACGTCTTTAGATCCGCCTGGAGCAGTTTCTCCTCTGCATCGCTTAAGCATTTCAAGGTATTTGCTAGTTCTAATGTGGCTAACTTTATTTCTTGCCTCATCACCTCCCATAACTCTAATGAGCTAGTAAAATAGCTACTTGTATTCTCCAGTAGTGTTTCTAATTTTTTAGTAAAGATTTCGCAGCCTTAACCGTCGAATCCCAGAAACCTCACTCAAACTACGCTCAAACGGAAGGGCCCCTCCTCTTCCTCGAGGAAGGCGCGAGGGCCGGCGCTGGCCATTCGCGACGGCGGATCCGTCCTCGCGATTGGCCAGCGCCGGCCCTCGCGCTTTCTTCGAGGAAGTGGAGGGGCCCTTCAGTTTGAGTCTTCTAAAGAAATTATGCGGATAACACGCTTTCTGCTTGAATTGTCCTTGTCGCAATATAACCTACAGTTCGTACTTTTAATAAACATTGATTCTTCCGAGATCATCCGATCTGGTTCCGCAACAACGGGCCCTGCGATGGAGACCTTTTGGGGCTATGGGGGCCCCCACTAGGAGGGCCCTTGTAAGATGTCTAAGTAGACTCACTCTTGATCCCACGAGAAGGGCCCTTGAGAGCTGCCTAAGTGAGGCCTCTGCGTGTTCCGCGGGGGCAGCCCAGGGCCCTATCTACACGGCGGCACCAAGGAACCGGGACATCTTCCCCTGCTGCGATTGGTCAGCGCCGCACCGCCAATCAGTGGGAGCAGGTGGCGATCTCCCGGACCGCCATGTAGATTAGGGCCCCAGGCGGGCTGCCCAAGTGGGCCCCATCTGGGCCCGACTTGCAAACCGGACGTGGGAGCCGCGTGGACTGCCCAAGTGGGAGCTGGGTCTCCCATTCAAAGCCCACTCCGTGCTACTTGGGTAGTGTAAAGGGGAAAAAATTGATGTTTATTATGCCACGCGAGTTCACAATTTACAGCATTTATTCTCAAAAATATACACTGTCTGCGTATTGTCACAGAATACAAAAAATTTAGCCACATTTGCGCTCCACGCAAAAGATCAAATGGCATACAATGTCCCGTGTTCATGTGCATGAAGCCGCCGCTTTCTAAAGCTGCCTCAACTTCGCTCTTTCTAGAGAGCGAAATATCCTGCAAGGCCAGCATTTAGAATTGTACCTAAAGTACCGTGTGTTCGAGAGAAAAGAAAATGTAATTATTACTAAAAAAATAAAAAGTTATCTCCAAAACGCTGTCTCCACCCAACTCTAGTGCTTGCGTTTGGAACGATCGAGATGCCAAAGTTTCAGAACTTTACGTTGTCCGATTCAAAATTTGCGAGCAAATTTCGCAATATTCAATCACAAAATAGCAGCCAATGGAGTCCGCGAATACATAAACGTAAATAACGCCTCCAACTGGAGACGGGTCCCAGTTTTCCTCCTCTTAGAAATGTCGTGCCTAAAGCATTTTTAATTATATAGACGTGCGCAACCTTTCGTTAAACTATACATGTCATTCTTCGAAGCCCGTCTTGTATGGCGTATGCTTATTGGACACTAACTGTTTTTTTAAAGTCTAAAATAGTCTTGGTTAATCAAAACATCGAGACGCAACAGTTTTATATCAGCTAAAACTTTAAACAAAAAGTGTATTTTCTTTTAAATATGATGCTCTAGGACTGCCTGTAGAATCAGGCAGAATCTTCCATAATAAGATTTTATAAAGTTCTTATGCTATATCTATATCTCATCACACACAAACTCAATAAATTAGTTTGCACAACAGCGTATTCCAATGATGTGCAATGATATCACAAGTTACTGAGGCTGTATACTATACAAACATTATACAATGCTTGAAATGACAATTCCCTCGTTACGGCGTATATTGTATATTCAGGTCTGTACCCATTCCTTATAACTAAACAACAATACTACAGATTCAACTAAATGCGCATAGTAACTCAGACAACATTATTTACATGGGTTTACCCTAAAAATATTCATTGATGACCCAGCGTTTAAAAAAACAGCATGCTGCAACGTTCATACAGACAATGGCGTATCATACCACGGAAACATAAAACACAAGTGTAAAACATTAACACCTTTATAGGAGCCGCAAAAATGTACACCAGCAACTTGCAGGTGATTGAAAAAATATTCTATCTTATGGCACATAAAGTTCCCTTGGTGACTGTTTCATTTTGAGTATATTCTGAACATAAAAAAAACTTCTTACACAATATCTTTAACGGTCTCGACTAATAAGGTGTTGAATGGTTCTATAGCTTATTTTAAAAAGTACTAATAACTATTTGGAAAATGGCCATTCCAGGCTAAGAAATGTTCAACTCTAGACAAAATTATTGCTTCAAGACCAAAACGTTCCACACAAGTGCCTCAGTGACCTCAATAAGAATAGGAAAACTCGCACTGTAGATGTTAGCAATGACCCCGCACAACTTTTAATATATGTAGCAAACATTTCTTCAACCCAAGGTTAGATACATAAGCTTCATTCGATTTGAATGGTGACATCTACATTATACTCGCCGAACATGTTCTGATGTTCATACCAAATAGTGAAATGTTTGCAGCACACGGCATAGAATCCTGTCTCACGCTTGGAATATTTAAAACAATACCAGGTTCGTTAAAGACCTCCATAGATTATACAGATATATATTTGGCATATCCCTCATTCAGAGGGACAACACATGCATAGCGCATTGCCCGTTTGTTTCTGTTGTTCCTGATATTCTGGCTTCATTTTTTGGGACATAGATGTTGATGACACAATACTAGCATAAAAGACCTGATAAGGTACGAATTCCAATACAGGACTGCATTCGGCAACACTGATTAGCAGAAATCTCTTACCCTCTGAGGCTGCTGTAATGACGTAGGAAGGTATGGCACAATTTGTGAACACGGAAATATGAGTGAAGGTTCTTAGAATATCCTGGATTGTTCACAGTCCCTTCGGTATCGATGAAAAATCTATCAGCGCTGAGACATTCCTTCTACATTTATACGTCGCCAAAACATTCCGACATCCCACTAATGTTCATACCAAATCAGCGGGATATTGAGATCCCAATGGTTTCTATTGAACGTACAGATAATGGCAAGCCGCCAATTGACGTTCAAAGGACGTCCCTAAGACGTTGACATCGGAATATCTCATTTACGTCGGCAGGAGTGTGGCCTTTTGCGGGCATGATGCGGCTTAATTAAGGCACTTCTTAACCTTCCGGCAACCGGCCAGCGCCTTAGAAAGCCCCAGTTTTTGTCCGTTTTGTTTGATCTTGAGAAGTGACTTCTTTGCACCGTTGAGAGCGTCGAGGCGTGCCTTCTTGAGCAGCTCGTCGTTGTTCAGTCCGTTGAGGTAGAGCCCGTTGTTGCCGTTCTTGCAACGGGGGTCCCCCACGGGGTACTTGACGGAAAAGATCCAGACATCCAGCGCGTCTCGGATGTCCCAGCTCGCGTAGGTGAAGAAACGCGCAAAGTCCATCACGCTGTAAACCTGCGACGATTCAGTGGGAACCAAATCTCAGTCATTCGTCTCCTGACATTACGGAACTTCGGGTTCTTTAAGTATCCGTTATGAAAAGACAAGAACACTGAAACACTTCCTAGAAAACAAGGCGGTATTTTCTGTGGTCTTACCAAACTTTGACGTTTTTTAAGACCGCCACGTTTTGTAAGACGACCACCTCACAAAACGCTGACAAATAGGTGAGTACATAAACCACCTAGGGTCACGTGACCACCCAGAAGGTTGTGTAAGTTTAGAAGGTCCGCAATTGATAATAAATGCGCATTTCCTCTTCTAGCGTCATCAGAAGTGAATCCACGGAGCGCAATTTATCGGCGTCGCCGGGGGAGCGCCTTGCAGCGTCTTAGAACGAGCGCAATAATGGCACGCAGCGAAGCCAAAACACACGCTTCTGCCGCTCTGTGGTGCACTCTAGCCGAGTCTCAGCGTGTTTGATGTCTAGGGCGGGTCGAACGTGCACTATAGACGGCATAACGCGCAGACCTCGCCTTCTAGGTGGTGGTGCATGAACGTGCTGCATATGATTAAGTCAGACTTTCATCTCTCACATGTGCCCGTCCCCGCTCCATCCACCTGCGCAAGCTGATTTGACGAGGGCGAAAAAAAAAGATACACTTTTACTCGCCACTGGATTTTTAAATTCGCAGCAGTGTTATTACAACTGCCGCTAATTTATTATTGGAGATGTCCATGAAGATGTCCATACGTTAAAGAAACTGACTCGCTCCTCACAATTCACTGCCAAATGGCCTTCAAAAATTCTATGATTAGTTACCACAAAGGCCGATTAGCTGTTTAAATATTTAAGCCGGAGTTATTTTATTTGAAAGCAAAGAATAAAAGTTTTTTTTTGGCTTTTACACTTTGTTTTTTTATTTATTTATTTATAGATTGCTTAATCACGTGACATAATTAAGATATATTTTCGAAGTTGAGAAATTTCCTTTGGGGCCAATGGAGTGTTCTATTTGACGAAAGCAAAAACAGAGCTTGTCGAAGCAATGTTTTTTCACCTTTTCCTGTTACGTCCAACTAACAATCACCTGTGACCTCAATCACATTTTCTTTATGATAGCGGGTCATAACCCTAAGCCGGGGTCACACTGCTCATACATCACACAAACGACAGTCCGCAAACACGAATCGCCGCAATATTCGTGGTTCGAATGCCGCGTGTTAAGTTTTCTCCTTGCACCCATTGCCACGCGGCATTCGAAGCACGGATCTCGCGGTGACTCGCGTTCGAATCTGCATGCAGACAGTCTTTCGCATGATGTGTAAGAAAGGTGACCCAGTTTCTAGACATGATCATTAAGTTATTAATAAAAAGCGCGTGTTTATCAACACTACGCATCTTTCATTATTCGGTTCCTGAAAAAAAAAATCGATGGGGCTAATTAAGATATTTATAGTTTTTTTTTTGTTTTTTTTAGAAAACCAAGGCACAATATTATAATTCTTTCACCGAATGAAACTTTATGCACGATAGCGTATATTAATTGTTCTCGAGCGCCTCATTTCGACATTAGTTTCCTTCTATCATCTCTGATAGAGCCTCTGCTACTGTAGACACATGTTGCTCGTCTCCAATCAACCACGGGCCCTGTAGGGACGTCCACGAGGTGTTTCAAGATTTTACGAGCATACGGTGAATAGCTAATTATATTGGTTTGACCCATGCTGAAGCATGTCACACATGCTCACCATTGAACCCATCAGCGCCGATGACTCCGGCAAGGACATGGATGTGGCACTGAGCAAGAGGTGGAGGCAGAGGAAGAGGGGAGCCACCAGGCTGCTGTCCCACAGGTCCACTTCTCCGAAGGACACCGTCGTCAGCTGCAGCCAATCAGAAAAGGCCCATCAACCGCCATGCCACGCTAACCCATAAGAGCCTCGTTTCTTACGCACGCTGAACGCCACTTTTGGTCTCAGTAACATTGTAGTAACACTTCGGGAAAAATATTTATTTATCAAACACTCTTTTATGTACAAAACGTCCATTGGTATATGCATGCCTCTGACCTATGACATATTTATCGTATCGTACTTTTCGGTACACGTTACCATGCTTTGTCTCCTGACCTCGCACACCGAGGTCACTCTTTTAAGCGGCCTTGCTCGGCCTATGTTTATTCGGAAATGCAACTTCCTGTTTTTACATTCAGTGTGCGTCATGAAGCGTATATTATCATGAAGCGTCATGCCTGATCAAGCGGTTAACGACGTAGATTCACCGTATTGTAAGCACATAGAACCTCACAAAACAAGAGTCGACTAAACAAACAAAACGTTGCATGCTATCAAAGAGCGATACAACAATATAAAATATTGTTTCCATCGCTTGCTTACACGTGCCACTAGACGTAAAAATGAAGACCCAGATGAGATAGCAGGGATCAAGCAGAAGCTGCAACAATCGGAAACGCGCCAGACCCTAGAGCAGAATAATTTCTTTCGCCTCGCGAGCAGACGCGAAGGGCACTTTACTCTCGACAGAGGACGGCACTTGCGTCGCAGGGAACTGCAGAAATCGTGATGGCACGCCGCAGTATCCGCAGTCTACGTAAATTCTTTGCGTGTGTCGTTTTTTTTTTTGTTTTTTTTTTCTTTGTTTTTTTTTCTTTGTTTTTTTTTTGTTATTTTTTTGTGTGTGGGTTTAAAAATTGGATTCACATGAACTATTTGCCTGGGCGGCATCGCAGTCCACGTGGAGTGGTCGCACTGCGGCGCCTCAGTCGGCACAATATGGCCACGCGCTAAAACGTCGAAAATACTGGTCTATATTGGGGCGTCGCACCCAAAGGGATATATGTCACATCATGCCACAACCAAAAAATAGAGAATTGTTTTAATGATAATAGCAACAAAAGCGGAAATAATACAGCCAAAAGGAGGCACACAGTGAAGGACAAACAATGGCACTGTATCGTTCTGGGCGTGTATCCTCCTTGTGTCTTTGTTTTTTTAATGCGATAACAGTCTGAAGCTACTTCAACCGGTTTTCGCGATATAGAATTTGGTCTTGAATGCGCCGTGCGCATGCGCGGCGCGCGTATGTGCCGCTCATACTCAGGCGCGAAGCGTATGCAGACGTGGTCCTCGACGTCGTCCGTGAGGTCGCCCTAGAGGTAGTCCTAGAGGTCGTCTTAGACTTTTTTTTACGTCGTTTTTAATGCCGTCCTCTAGAACGTCATCTAGAGCCGCAGTGAGCATGTATTCATATTTGCGCTCAAGCTACGAAGCAATCGTCGGTTTGATCTGAGCTAGTTGATACATGGTCATTGATGGTGTCGAAACAGCTTCAACATTAAACGATTACGAAGAAACAAGACAATACACACACACGGAACTGCTATGATAGTGGGGAAACAGCTTGAGCATTAAACGATTACATAGAAACAAGACAAGACACGCACAAACCGAACTGTTATGATGGTGGGAAAACAGTTCAGCCTTAAACGATTGCACATGGATGAAGTAGTCACACAATTTTGAAGTGGCGTGCTGCAGCCGCGCTGACGTCAATGATTGCGTTGAAACCATTCATAAAATAAAACCTTTACTAAAAATTTGCGTCTTGCATTCAAAGTGAGCTGCGTCGTGAATCTCATGACGAATGCTATCGCAATTCATAGACAACAAACAATACTAGTTTCTGCAGTCACGTTTTGCTCCGTTACTGCTATTATAATTCATCAGCTCGGCCAAGCTTCCATCTTAACAAGCTTTATTAACAAATCAGCTCTCAGGTCATATCAATAGTTATTTCATGTCAAGACATAAAAATGGAACCAAATTTGCCAATCAATCAAATCCCATGTCATGTAGCGTAACAAAATAGAAAAGATTATCAATCAATCTTTCAACCGTCATGCAAAGTGCGTCTGCGATATCAATATTTTGTCGTAACTTCACTTCAGTTATACAATAGAAGGCTTCTTTAAAACGTTATGTCTTTCTCTTGCTGTAGCACAACTTCCCTTATTACTAAGTTTCGCTGGCGTTTGTAGCACTCACGTTTCTGTGGCTACGGTCTCATTTCCTCAAACATATAAAGAAACGTTTCTGCATAAAAATAGGATTGAAAAACCTATAAAATGTTATTAGGGCCAACGCTGGTTTGGGCGCTTTGTGAAACATACGAGCGTAAAGTGAGTTTTCCCTCTTTTTACTTCTTTCTGTAGCAGCTTAACGTCAATGCAGCGTTCGGAACATAAGTCAGCTTTTGTTTAACTCTGATGCGATTCGACGTTGAATATTCCACTCGAGAGAGCATATAAATGCAAAGTCGCGGTGTTTCTCTGCACGCTGCACACGGACCCTGAATTTTTATAAACTTGAACCAGCAAAGCTTCCATTGAGTTTGCACTCTGCATGAGTGTTGCGCAGTCTTGTGCCTTGGGTTCTTGTATGCGGTTTCGCGCTTTGCTAATTACACTACATAGTTCAGACTGACTGTTTTGGGTGTGTACATATCTAGCATGACCCAGCCATTCATGTAAATGGCCAGTAGAGTATATTTCAAAACTGAATGCAAGGATTACAGCCGAACGCTTTATTTTAACAAATGTAAATGAAACTCTTATAAAGTTTGCTTTCTTAACGGATATTTTCTAGACAGGTTCTTGTTTAAGAAGGTGAACCAAAGTTGACAACTCATTCGCTATAGTTTGAATGCATGGGCTTGCCATTTTAATAAATAATTCCGCTTCAATGAATATTTCTGCGTAACGAATGATATACCCTACTCCATGAGGTGTAAAGAAGTTGGACATTGAGAATTTGCAACGCACGAAGTATATGCCCGTTTCCAAAGTTAGTTTTATACCGCCTAAGAGCCTTCGTGACGTTCGTCCCTCCGCCCTCTGTATGCTCCGCAGCCCACGTGTCCGCACAGCAGAAGACATCAGCAGTATGACGTAAGCGAAGAGCGGAGGTATCGTCGATAAAGGCACTCTTTGAAGTATTTTATAAGAAAAACAAGAACAAGGAAGAGGCAACTGACAGAATGAAAACGTCCTTAGCTTGCCACGCAGCCACGGACGACCGAGGGTGCCATCAAGGACACTGCAAATCAGTAATCCTTTGATGCCAATACCCTCGTTCCTTCAAGACTGATTTTTAGTTATGTTCTAGTTTCCAAGCCAGCGTATTTTTTTTTTTTTTTTAGATTTTACAGGCGAATTTAAACTTTTGGACACCATTCATGCACCCACAAAAGAACACGGAAAACGCATGACTTGAAAAGAGAATTTTTCTCGCAATGTAAGTTAACATATAAGCCACTTATTCAGCATTATTAGGATAAAGAATACAAAATGCAAATGCAACATTATAATATTACGGTCGTTGTTGTTTTTTTGCCCACTTCATGTAACTTTCACATAAATTTCATTCACAGGGTGTCCCGTACATACAACCAAAATGTCGTGTTTCAATCCTTCATAGAAATCCAAACGAGAGTCCACTCACCACAAGGCGGATAGTGAGCTTGGCAAAGGCGAAACCAAACGTGACTAGGAACATAACTGGGTGGCTTTCCATGAGACCACCTCCAAAGCAAAGCCACAGGCAACCCGTCAGTCCTGCCAGAGGGACTAGGGGATGTAAGAGGCGCTCCTGAGGGAATGCATGCAGAGAGATCGGTCAGAGACATTGGGGAGGGAACAATGCAACATTAAGTCTAAGCATACTCTCGGAATCATACAGGGTGTATGATTTTGATACGAATATAATAAGAAAAAAAGGTGAGAGTTAGAGGAGTGTCGTGTTCAACTTGCATTTATCAAGTTCGTCGGACATTAGATGATGAAATAATCGTCATGCGGAGTGGGCTAACCCTCTGAGAATCCGTTAAGACGCGTTCTAATTTTTGGTTTTAGGGGTTATCTTGCAAGTGTAGCAATGACGGCAGTTACTATAATAGAACATACCATTTAAAACTTTTCGTGAAAGTATAGTACTTTTTTAGATGATGTTTGGTACTCTCGACATCTTTTTGCCAGATTCTAAAATATGCGAGCAAAAAGAGCGCCTCAAGCACAGCTCACAATGACGCTTGGAACAGTGACGTAGTCTTTTCAATCGTGTCGTCACTATATTTACAGCGTGTATTTTGTGGGTACGCCAACGACACAAGTGGCGACGTGACTGAACTGACTAGGTCACTGTCCTAAGCGTCATTGTTAACAGGGATTGCGGCGCTCTTTTTCGTCAATCCTAAAACTCTTGGATTATCTCAAAAACTATTACATTTTCGCAAATTGTTTTAATTGGTTTTGCCTCTAATACAAATTGTCGTCAATACTTCAATTCCAGCATGACCCCTAGAACCAATAATTAAAGAGCAAAGTAACAGAAATTAATTTATTAGCCCATTTGCCATTACGATTATACCCTCATCTAATGTACGTCAAACCTGATAAACCCATATTTAAGACGGCACTCGTCTAAGTTTCATGCCCTTATTTCTTCTTAGATCTGTTCGGATTAAAATCAAACACATCGTATTATCAAGCAGAACTTTCGTTGGGAGGTAATAATGCGATATTAAGCTTCCAAACACATGTGCTTATAATTAATGTTTCTACAATACAATGTCATCCTAGTACTAAACACTCGCAAAACGTTTAAATATGTTGCCATACTCCAAAAACGCACACCTCAAGAAATAGAGCATGCACAGATAAGAATGCACAAAAAAGTATTGTACCAATTTTAGAATCTCCAGGATTACAAAAAATATAAATATATTTGGACTAACCTGCTGCTTGCTGCATTATGAGAGACATTTTTGGGGCTTCCTAAAGTCTCGTGCTTTTTGACGCCAGAAATCGTACCTTAATTTTGTACACTAGTCACACATTTGAGCACCCAAATATATAATTTGGTTGTCTGACTGTCGTGACTAATGCCACATCTAATGTCGATAAAGACAATCGGAAATATGCGAGAGTGGTGCAAAACGATCACCGTACAGCGAATGTGATGTGACGGAAATGAAGAACAAGAACGAGGATACAGAAAAAATCTGTCTACAAATAAAAAAATAAAGACGAGCGAAAAAACAAAAAGAGGAGACAGCCGGATGGTAAGACGATTGTGACGGCTCCTGGGTTAAGAAAGCACCACATGGAGTAGTAATGAAGGATTGCGAACATTATCCTCTTCCTCCATAAAACGTCATCGCAGTCGCAACTAATGTCAGATGTCACGTCAAACCTGACAGTGTCGCGGATTGCATTTGTCACGATACAGAACGGATGGTATTACGAGACAAGCAATTTTCACGGATAGCGATCGCACGAGGCAGTAAAGACAACTACAATCATTCCACTTGCCTTTCTGCGCGGCAGTTTGACGTAGTGGTCGATGGGAGTTTTGCCACCAAACACTATCCGGGCGTTGCCAAAAATAGCAAGAGCCATGGAGCAGACGGTTGCAGCCATCATAATTTCACGCAGCTCAAATTTCACCTGGAAATTTGAACAAGCATATACTTTATCTGTTCTTTTTTTGCAGAGTACTACGCATGTTTAAAATGTCAACATCTGAAAGATCTAACTAAAATTATACACGAAAAGAAGAAAGAGAGATATGACGAAATATAAAGAATACATGCCGGACTTAGAGGTGTACCTACTATTAACATGATATTCAATGTAGACAAATAAAATAAATATTGTGTAGGACACTTTTCCTAAGTCATATCACACAGGCTCGCTCTAATGGGCTACCTTCACCTAAACAGTCATGAACAAACATTGCGATCAGTGGGATGTCGGGCTCTTATTTTGGCCCTTGCAAATACAGAGTTCTGCTTTTAGCTTTATATTTTTAATGTATTTGTTCTCTTGCGCGCTACGTTCTAATGCGACATCTCAACCCTTCCTTATTGTTGTTGTACATTTTGTTTGTTAACGCACTCTGTTTAAATAGGTTCTTAACTCAACAAATGTTCTAAATGTTTTTTAGCAGCCATCTGGAGGCTGTTGCTGTAATATTTTTTATGGTTTTAGCCCAGGCACTATCCACAAAGGACCCTTAAAGGACAACTACGGGCAATATTGCTGAATTTGGGATTACAAATGTTTTCAGCTCAGTCAATGTACCTAAATTGCAATGGTGTTTTTTTTTTCTGCTTTGATGCAACAAATACGGCGTTCCGGAAATCGGATACATCGACCCTAAAATTTTAGTGAAAGTAACCCTGTAGTTACTGCCTTCATCGTCACACAGAAAACCCCGACAAAAGGACGACGAAAGTGGCCCCAGTAAGAACTAGCAATCTCCAGGAAGCCTGAGTGGATGTCGACGTTTCACTAAGGAACTTCTAGCTACAAAACATTTTGATGTGGAACTTATCACCACGGAAGGGCGGTAGGGAGCTAGGGAACTCAGGTGCAAAGAACCAAAGTATTTTAACCAAATCTAAGCCTTAAGCTTCTTTGAGGCTTAGGACATAGATATTACTGCTCAATGCTTGGTTTCGGGCGTCTACAGCAAAACCGAAACTATCTATTAGAGGGAAGACAACGCTGACTATCAGCTGTATGGCCGTGACGGGACTTTCGCCTTGGTGCTGCGGTGCGCTGTACAACGTGCAGAATCAATAGCGAGTTTTAGTAGACCGTGTTTCCCCTTCCGCTAAGGCGCTCCGCCACCCGGAACTCTACAGCCAAGGCCACCGGCGCGCAGGCGCAGTGGCGGTTTCTTCGTAGCGGGGGGTTAGCGGAGGGGGAAACACGGTCTACTAAAACTCCCTAATCGTAGCTCCAACGCGACGCAACGTCACGGGGGAGCTGCGGTATTCGTCGCCCAGTGTTTCTTGACGAACAACTAAGCCGCTTGACCTTCGCTAAAGATCAGCTGGTCAGATCTTTAAAATCGATTTTAGTGGAGTACGGGGGTTCACTTTGACGTAATATTTTGGCTGTGATCATATCTTGTGCCACTAAAGCGATACCGGTCATTTACTTTGGTTTCATTTTCCATCGCAGTTTCCCATTGAAGGTTAAAATATTTGTTGTCTAGTTCATTAACTGTGTAGTTTATTGATTATATACCCTTACAATAATCACTTGCGCAATTGATTGATTGATACATGAACTACTAATATTTGCAATTTGAACTATTCGGCAACCACAGTGACTATTTTGCTAATTATTTCTTTAATAATGGCATTCATCACAGTGTATTTTACCGTGGTCTTCCAGAGGTCCTGTCCATAGATTGCTGTGACTAGATGTGCAACAACCATGGCAATCTGGCACTCGGACACATCGACCCTGAAATTGAAGTGAAAGCAACCTTGTATATACTGCCTTCATGGTCACAGAAAAAAGCCTGCACAAAGTTCGAAGAAAGTGGCCACTTATTTTCATTAATTTCATAGACCTGTAGTAAGAAAATGTTTGCGCAGATGCGTATCATGCGGAGAAAACCATCCTCCCCTCCTGCTTGGGCCGGATTACTGGCCTGCAGTATCTTGTAAATAAAAAAAAAATTCTTTAGTCAAGGTTAGCATTTCTTTCGTTACCTTATGCTTGTATAAAAACGTGCCACATGCAGCACTTTTCAAACCTAAATTGACTGGATCGTTGAATATCTACGGGAATGTTCATAGGAATCGAGCATTTGTTTAACACTTGACACAGCAATATTGGCCACAGAAGTGGGCTTTAACAAGGCTATATACCTACATACTGTTAACGGCGAAGCCCGCGTTTTCGCCCACCAGGTACGGGCACTGCGCGTGCGCGGAAACCCGATTGGCTTGAGATGAGGCGTCTGCGCATGTGCAGTGCTGCCAGCATCGCCACCATATCGGCGTGACATCAGAGAGTTCATTTGGCTTATCATATCTCTAGATGAAGACCCCATACTTGGGGACTTCGGCTAGTTACATTCCGGAAAGTCTAGGTTAGCAGATATGCAACCATGGCTGGGCACAGATACCCCAAACCTAATCAGGAAACAAATACTGAGACACATGTACTGGAAGGCTAAAATACAAATACTGAGGTACATTTGTCCTAGTTGCAAACAAGAACATAAAAAAAAATTAAGATAATTTTTAATCCTTTTTTTTTAATGGAGGTTATGTTCCGAAAATTCATTTTATGTTGCACTTAAGCGTCGACAACTTATGCGTCACAAAAGAAAAATAGGAGGCGAGGTACTAACACGATTGAATTTTCAAGCAATGCATAAACACCTTCTTGTATTTACAAAAGACTCTGGGTCTTAAAGAAGCACAATTTTTTAGCAACAGAACGACGGTCTTATCCGCATTTGCCGAAAGCAGAATACAAAGGTTACTTTTAAACACCCTTCCCTGCCAGTGTTCAGTAGCAAACGCGAAAGGAGAATCAGTTAACAAGGGCTAAATACGACTTTGAAGCTAGCTCAGAACTTCGCAAGTGGATATATCTTTGTGGCTTAAGAGCCGGGACCCCTTGCACATAAGTTGGAATTTTTAGCTCGTAAATGTGGAAGACCATTTTTAACACCTAAGTCTGGCAGACTATCGCCATACAATCGATACAATCTAATTGCATTTCACTATTGACATACAACCTCTTTGGATATACGTAGAAAGAAATACACATCCTCGAAAGTACCATTTAAGACAATTTCTCTCTTAAAATCGTATCGTTATACTGTCGAGGTATAAATGCAGCTTAGACCGAAAGTACCTTGATCAGCCATAACTTTCTAGCAAGCCCCGGTGTAGAGTCTCCAAGGTTGGCGAAGACAAGTAAAAACTCACATGCCGAAGACCATGACGTCGGTCACATATTTCTGCCAATGGCTGGAGTAGAATGCAACCATAGAGAGGAAGAAGAGGGTCACCAGGCAGAGAGGAGAGTCGCCGAGCCGCGTGGCAATGGCCATCGACATTGTCACGAAGACTGCGGTCGAGAAGAGAGACACCAAAACACCTCTTTGTGACATATATTGTAGGCTTTTCCAAAAAAAGAAAGTAACGAATTGCGTTACTTGTTACTTGCAGATAAGAGGAACGCGCAACCGACATATGTATGTGACCTAAAAAAAGAAGAGAAACCCGCTACCGCTACAGTTTCCGATAACAGTTTCGCACGTTACTTTTGCGTTACTTAATATTTATGAATTACTGTTTTGACGTTGCTCGTATAGGTAAGCGCCATATTTGAAAAAACATGATATTGATGTAGAAACCTAACATAAATACCTTATCTTTTCTGCGGTTCCACCCGTATACTGGCGAGAAAAAACGTGAAGCAAAACACGAAGATCGCAATAATTCATACGTGTCGCCTAAAGAGACAAACCAAATTGATTTTTTTTTTTTTTAAGTTTTCGGAAGCAGATGGTACTAGTACGTTGTCCCGTTACCGAAAAAAGTAGCGCGTTACCGATAATGTCTTTACTTCTAACGCGTTACCGAAAACACTGCATACCAGGACTGCCGACTCGAAGGAAATTTCCCAGATTAAGGTAAATTTCCGGTCTATGTGGGAAAAAGAGAAATTTCGCTAGTCTGAGGGAAATTTGGGGCACCGTATATATCTGGAATTTTATAGGTCAATTATGATTTTTGTTCGATATAACATCTATGTTCAGCGACTGTGGCTACGTTTGGGATACCTCTCCAGCCGTTTGGCGGTTTGTGGTGCGACCATCTGGCAACACTGAATAGTACCAGGCTAGGTGGCGCAAAATACCGCCCATTATAAGGGGTGCAGTTGTTAGGTTCCATACATCCATCCAACTTTTTTCGGCAAAATCGGTTTTCATGGCCTTCCCCTCTCCAGATTTGCTATGACCGCGGTTTCGGACCGATAAATTAATTTATTGCGAAACGTACGCGAGGCGTAAAGGCTATGCGTAGAGCAAGTCGTCCGCTTTTTGCGCGGGGATGGCGGTGACGACAGAACGACGCCGAGCCCTGCTATGCTTTCGTTGAAAGGAAAGTGGGTAGACCTCAATACAAAATGCCTTGAGGTTTACCCACTATTTTTTTTTTTTCGATCAGCCAATTATAGCTCATGACATCATCGCAACCTATGCGCAAGAAGCAGACGATCTTACGCTCCGCACATATTTGTCATAGTAAAAATGGAAGTGGTGCAGAAAACACTGAGTATTTAGCATTATATAATTATGTAGCCAAGCGAGGGACATTTCGGCAGAAATAGAGAAATTTCAGGCTTCCGCTTGGGAAATGTTGACCTTCCGTGTTGGCAGCCCCGCTGCATTTATACTATTCAGAATTAACACCTCGTCATTAAAAAGGCCGCAATGCTACATTTTCTACGTCACTAATTGGAGGCCAGAGAAGGGTTGGTGGCGACTGCTTCCGGCTAGGGCTCGTGTTTTTATTCACTCTACTTAATGGTAACGCCGCTCTCGTGCTCAGTCTGTTCCCTGCACTGGCTTGTGGTAAGTCGTGCTGAGCATCCCGCACCCAATTGTCACCCAGAATGCGTTGCTCTCTTTACCCTTCTTACCAAAACTATTAATCACGCAGCCATATCATGAATAAACAAAATATGTGTATGCATACATTAAAATACCTACATAGGTCCAAAGCGATGTTTGATGCAATCTTCACTGAATGCGTCTATTGTGACCATTCCCACAAAAAAAACCTTTCAATATTACCCGAATGGGCAACATTGGCGGTCGCCATTGCTTGGGCGTGAAGCGTGTCATTAGATCAGAGTACTCGCCGAACGCTGACGCGGCTCTCGTGTGCCAAACTTGCTCAGAGCACGTGACCAAGCAATGGGAGACCACGGCCTTCGATATGCGCAAAGCTCTCCTCTGGCCCTTCCAAGCACTCGTCTTCTCAGCGGAGGGAGGGTAAACCCCTGCTTTTACAGAGCTCCGCAAGACGGTGCTGATACAGAGCCGTTCACGATGCTGATACCACCGTCATGGAAGACGATGACAGAAAGCTATAGGGTGCATTCACTGGCCGCCATATTTGGGTTGCGCTGTTTACTGGGCATACTCAGAAAGAGCTCATATTTATAGACTTTTAAGACCGATAATCACGATGGTGTGAACTGTACGTTGCCAAAGAACTGTGAAAGCTCGCCGTCAGCACGAGATCATCTGCCGCGGACTCAGCTATGGTCACCAGTGAATATTCACATAGCTGGCCGCAATGTTTGAGTGCGCTGCTCGTAGTGCATGCTCATAACAAGCTCACATTAATAGGCTGCTAAGACCAGCAATCTTGATGGTGCGGAATGCAGGTTGCGAAAGAACTGGGGAAGCTCGCCGTCAGCAAGAGCTCTGCTGTCGCGTACACAGCTATGGCCGCCAGTGAATGGAGAGTATTCACTGACGGCCATAGCTGTGCGCGCGACTTGTGAGCGCGTGCTGATGGCGAACTTCCATACTTATTTTGCAACGTGCAATTCACTGCCTTAACACTGGCGGATTTAACAGCCTTTTGATGTGAGATTGTTCCGAGCACGCGCTCTAAACATCACACTTAACTATGGCGTCCAGGGAATAGCCCTTATACTCTTTCTACCGTGTGATCGCGGCGCTACGTCACAAGCCCTGGAAATAATTGCCCTGGGGGTGTCATCCCTCTACTTGACCGAAGTGAGCGACCGCACAACCACAGTGACCAGAATGCATGGCCTCATCGTTAACCTCCATCGGGCAACCCGCAAGTTTATCTCCTTTTACGGAATGACTCGCCTCAGTTCCCTCCCCGAACTTCCGAAACTGAGGAAAGAGTGTTAGCGACGAACGCATCTTCCTAATCTTGTATAATATATTGTCGCATAATGACAATCATCTCTACGCGGCACTGCCGGCTTACGGGATGTTTGCCTCACCGCGGAGCCGAGGCTCTCCGGACTCAACAAAAATTATTATTATTAACAATTCTTTTAATATCTCAAACGTTAAATGTGCGCACGAGGTATAGAGTTCGTATCATCGTTAACACTGCGAAGACTGAAGAGCGCGAGCGCGTATATATGAGAGAATCAAATGCCGCTCAGACGGTACGCTTGCTCTGGCAGCGTTTTTGTTTCACCCAGCTATATGCTAAGACGTAGTTTCTAGCAATAGTAAACAGTAAGACAGAATGCGGGAAAACATTTTATTGTGGCGAAAGGATCGAAGGTGTGAAAACCCTGCCGATAACAAAGTGATGGCGAGATGGCATCGCAGAAACACTTGAAAGAAATGTGTAAAAAAACAAAATAAAAACGATGGGTAAAATTGAACAAAGATATCATTAAAAATACACATTTAATTGGACGTTCCTAGCAAATGGCGAGGCCATTTACTTAGGCAAGTGATCTGCCAAGCGATCTGCAAGGAAATAATAAGCATGACGGTTCGCCTGCTCAGTCTGACAAAGAAATGTGTATCTTTTAAGACAGAAAGATTATTGAGACTCATTATTGAATCGCCACTATTTCTTGCCTAAAATGATTGGACTAGCCGCTTATCCCAAAACAATCAGGCCTGCATTTATTTTTATTTTCTCGGTTTTCACAGAGAATACACTCGACTTTCAAGCTACCGTTTCTTGGAAAACAATGTGTGCAGTGGTGAGAAGCAACAACTATGATTCGGGCAAACGAGCGTCATTTTATTCGGGAAACTAGCCATGCAAGGTCGGTGATGATCATTTACGGGATTTTCCGGGCCCGTACGTACCTAGCGCCGCCGCGTGGCTGAAACGGCCCCTAGTGATGTTTTTTCTCTATCCCAGCCCCTCCCGACGAATGAAATGGTCTGAGCTTTGCACGCCAAGAACCTCGGAGACCATGGGCAGACGAAGATAATCATAGCAGGTGCTACTAAGATGGCGCGAACTTCTCAAAGGGGCTTGTCGTGCCAGTAACATGTAGCATAGCTGGAGCGAATGGAGCCTCTCCAATTCTAGATCAACACCTTTTAGATGATAATGTAGTGATTGCGCAGGCGAGCTGGTGGCTGTTAACCATTTTGTTCTTAGCCCGAGACTTTCAATCTTTCCTCTTTTCCTGCCTCAGTCTCGGGCTAAGAACAAAATGGTTAACCTTTTAGATGTTGGCCAGATCCACACCACCTAGAATAACCAAAGCCTGCACATTACAATGTTGACGTCATCACAGAGACAGACTGAACACGAGTGCTCCGTCAGCGGTTGGCTGGTCACTCGTGTCCAATCAGTGTGTAGAAGGACGCTGGACATCGGGCTCGGGGTCCGATGGCTGCGTTGACGCCGTCCGACTGGGATGACGTCCCATGTAGGCAGAAAAGGATGTTCGCAGGCCTTGACTGTTCTAAGTGCTGTTGGCTGGATTCGACCGTCTATACTCACACGTGGAGAGGGCATCGCAGCCGTGGTCATAGACCTCCTCGAGGGCCGTGTTCTGCACCCTTAGAGACTGCTTGCCATCCAGTGCATCCAGCAGTTGGTACAGAAACAAAGACAGCGCACACAGCGCGAATGTCCACCAGGGAGCCTGTTAAGGAGTGTCGAAATAGTAGGTAGAGGTTAGTTGCTCATATTGAAAACACTGTCTAGATAGTGAAAACTGCCGCCTGACTTCAAGAGTTCATCTTTATGTACATATATCTTGATCCGTCCAAAAGCAAATAAATAAACGGAATACTGAGGTGCATTATTTATTTCGCTGTAACTTTCTGTGCGTTCACGCCGAGCACTCCATTAGTGCAACTTGGCTGACTCATAACATTAAACTTCAGTCAGTTTTCTGTCATATTGGTTTTACTGTTAATAAGCCTAACAGCACACATAAACTAGAATGAGCTTTATTTTGCTTACCAAGCGTACAACTCAGTAAATAGCGCCTCAATCTCCTTTTTTATATTTCGGAAATCTTTGTTCTGTGAAGACATCTTAATTATTTTGATTGATGTAGTCGACTTCTTTTATCAAAAATAACAGATATAGAGTCACCAAATATTTAAATGATATGATGTGAGGAATATTTCTTGACAGGACATTTTCCTGAATTGCATTATATTTGCAGAGTGTATGGGCTGTTGATAATAAAACGACGCTCTCGAAGGTGCGCTTAAAGGTGTTCAATACTGCAGAAATAATGCAGCGGATAGCAAACAAAATGGCTATGCGTCATCATGTCCACATACCCGTAAGTGCAATACTTAGGGCAAGGCAAATTCAGAAATAGCACAAAAAATAAACCAAGCAGAGTAGTTCCAGTAACTACTGTACTTTAGAGATCACGCACTGCAGTTCTGTAGACGATATATGCGGCGTCGGGACAATATTCCCAAACTCCAGCTCCATGCTTAAAAACACGGAGCTAGAGTTTAAAAGTGAAGCCCATAAAAGCGGCAATTACAATAAATCTAACGTGAAAACTGCAACTAGCCATGTCTATATTTCTGACGACTCTTCGACACACAAACGACTTTTGAAGAAGATCTCTGAGAGCTATTTACTTATTTCACAAAACTGCGGTTCTCCACTGAAAGCCATATCAGAATTGGTACACAGTGTAAAGCACAAAACAAGCATGACCATTTTAAAAACAGTCTAGAAATATATTGCCGCGTGCCAATAGCTAAGTCAGCAGCGTGCTCGACTCCAACGCCGCTGCCTGGGGTTTGATCCCCCCAGCGCTTGTTCTTTTATCTTTCTTTTGTTTGCATGACTGGAATGTTCCAGATGACTCGAGAATATTCCCGTTTGTTCGAACTGGGGAAAGTTCCAGCTACCCCCGTCCTTACAAAAGGAGCTTCGCATGATTACTTGAGTCAGTCGTCCTTCCGTCGCCGTCAAAGTACGGTCTTTGTTACCTTATGTTTCTGGACACACGTTCGCCGCATTGAACACTCATTTTAAGTTTTATTTGTCAAGTTTATGTTTTCATTCGTGACACTTTGGTGGAGATGCGGGATAACGCAATCTATGCCCACGGTGTGTATCAACTGTGGCGTCAACGACCACCCGGACTATGGCCTCGAAATAGACCCGGACTATGAACTCGACAAAGCCCATGGCTGCAACCTCGACGATAACATGATGACGACATCGACGACGACGACACTGACGATAAAACGGACAGCTCCAAACTCGAACCCCGCGTAATACGTCAACAACAAACCCGACTACTGCCTCAGCGACAAAAGTGTCTTCAACCTTGACGACGAGACTGAGGACGACACTGACCATGATAAAGGCGACGACTCGAACGACGACATCGATGCCGATTCCAACTACGGCTTCGACGGCAACTCTGACGACGACCCCGACGGCGACTCAAGGACGACCCGGACTATCACTTCAACGAACACCCCGATTACAACCTTGACGGCGACCTTCATGATGAACCCGATGACGATACCGAAGACGAGTGTGATGTCGACCACAAAGACGATACGACGATGACAATCAGTTCGTCACTCAACGAACAGAAGTCCGCCAGCAGTAACACAACTTGCTGACGATGGCCGGTACAATATTTGTCCCCACGACGCCCGGTTCCAGCCAGGCTATCAAGTGTGGATGTGAATGCACCAATGCATCGTCGCAGTAAGAACTGTAAAGTAGTAGTTCGGCCTCAAGGTCATTCGCTGCACGAGGGTCCTAAACCTAAACGTTGTAACGCCGCCCTCTGAGTCCCGACGGTGTTTCACGTCTTCCGAACTGAACTATGCTCGATAGGACTGTGAAATTATGTCTTCTGTGGCTCTGCAGCTCGCGCTTTTCTTTTTTTGAGTAGTTAATGTCATTTTGTGTTGCATAGGAACAATTAGTTTTTTTTTTTTGTGTGTGTGCTTTTTTTTTCTTTTTTTTTTTCCTTTGTTTTAGTATGTCGGTTGCGTCCGTATCTTTCCGAGGAACTCTCTCGAAAAGTCAAGCGATATGAGCTGTCATATCTAACAGTGATACTGGCACAGGGTTCGTAACGGCGATATCGTGGAGAAAAAAGTCGCCTCTACATATAACATGCTAAGGATTATAGGAAGATTCACAGGTTACATTAAATATACCTTACGTTGAATTACTCATGCAGCGAAAAGGGTGCTGGTAACGTATACAGATACACGTCGGACGGGCTCACCTTGCCTGTGCAAAAGACTAAAAACAAATTATCAAAATAAGGCTTCGACGAACGCGCCTGCAATGTGCCTTTTATTTTAATCGTCCGCAATCACGGCCAAAATGAGAGACCCTCCTTCACAATATGAGGAAATGCTGCCCACCGGAAGTGAAGAGGCGTTTCGCGGAACCGCCCAAATACCCTAAGAATATTGACTCTAGTTCTTTGATGCGCGCTGCCGTTAGCTGAGCATGTCTGGTCCGACTGATCTGGCTCACCTCGGAGCAGAGGTCGCTGCTGTAGCTGAGCAGCAGGAGGCAGCAGCCCACGTTGATGCCGAGTCCCAAGCAGGTGAGGACACATGGCGCCGTCCGGGCCGGCACAAACCGGTGGCACCACGTCCAGAACCTGGAAGGGCAGCAGGGATTCCTTGGTGCATTTGTATTATTACTATAGCTTGTTTTACTTTATGTGCCAGCAGAGCCGAAGATTCAAGCACGAGAATGTCGGCGATGCTTGCTTGCACTGCACCAGTGTGCATCCTCAGCAGCGATGCTGAAGGCCCCACGCTCGCTTTTGCAGCTTCTACAACGCTCGCACATTAAGTGAAACGGACTCTATTTTAGTTGAATCACGGTGTAATCAAACCGGTAGAAAGCCTTGAAAAAAATCTTCCTATACTTCGTTTCACCTTATGTCGGAGCGCGGGCGATGTTATGACCCGAAGGGCCCATAAACATCGGAAAAAACGCAATGTCATGGCGTGCTCTCTGCGGTTGATAGGACTATACTTCGTCTCACCCTACGATGGACTAAAGGCAAAAGCTACAGACCGCCAGATCCAATCACGAGCCACTTAGAAATTGCGTATTGTGCTTTGATGCAAGTATCAGTGCCCGCGTCTCGGATCACTGATGGGGATGGGCGGACACTGGTTCGAATCGAAATAGCACTGAGTGACTCGACGATTTTGCATTACAAAAAAGAGGCTGTTTGCAATGTCGAAGCTATAGAAATGATGCAGTGTTTTTGGGTGCGGGGCATTATTCGTCCACCCCTAATCAATGCTAGGCATGTCATAGTGTAGCGTGGAACGTGATTGGACCTGGCTGCCCGTGGCTTTGGCCTTTAGTCCATCGTAGGATGAGACAAAGTATAGCCGGTATTCGCCGTGTCTGTGTGCGTGCTCCTCCGCCGGCTGGTCCTATCAAGCGCATAGAGCACGCCATGACGTTGCGCTTTTTGCGCTGTTTGACTGGCCCTTCAGATTATAACATCGGCCGCGCTCGTACGTAAGCTGAAACGAATCATAGAAGCAGCTTTTCACTCACTACCATAGCATATCCACGAAGCGAACATCTAGGAACACCAGACACAAATGGACCCTATGTCCAAGCACCTACTTTATTTCCTTCTTGACGCCAGAAAGTAAGAGTGCTCTTTTTTACAACTTGTCATGTTTTACTACTCTCTTAGGATTGAATCTCACTCTCCTTGCCATCACAACGTCAAAACTTTAAGCAAATCGTATGCTTCTTTTTCACAAGCTCTCCAGGCCAAAGAATCAGCCAGAGGAGCACAGCTACGAGTAGTGCAGATCTTGGAGGCTATGCAAGATGAATCAAAGTTCAGTTCTTCCCCAAAACGAACTAAAAGTTGGAAGCTGGTCCCCTTTATTACTGCATAATTCCTTGGAAAGAAAGCTAGTTCAGATTTTGTGTGCGTGCGTGGAACGGGAAAAGTGGAAAAGTTAGCAGAAGTGGGAAGAGTAGAGGGACCTTTTTCACATCTGCATTTGTCGCTCTCGGTGTTGGCGCTAACGCGCGACCTTTTTCGGTAAGGTAGTAACGTACTCGGTACTCCTTTAAAACAGTAACACATCAAGTACTTACGTGACTCATTTTAATTTTGAGTGACGGCCGGGTAGCGCGGTTACCTTATTGTCGTTGCATCTTCTTTCCTATAAAAGGGCTGATAAAGGGGCTAGTTGGTATCTGAACATCTAAACGGTATTAGCGCACACGTAGAGAGAAGAGAGAAGATACACCAAGGAGCCGCTACTCACAACTTAATTTACTGAGATGAAGAGAAGGAAGAACATCGTAAAAATTATCACTCCGATTAAAGATGAAAAAAGAAGAAAGATGATAAATAAATATTAGGGTGTTCCCTCGGGCGGACACATGCTTCAAAACCAGGTCATTTGTTTAAACACCAGATCTGTTGTTGGCCGTCACGTTGCCATCATACAGGGTGTTTTGCATCAATCTTGGCTCGTGCGGGCTCTTCATTGTCAAAGATGAAGACAAGCACCTCATCCGTAGTCGGCTGTCGCCACTGATCTCTATGACAATTGCTGGATCGCGCTTCCCCGCTTGTTCGCTGCAGCGCAAGTGAAGCCACCGGACTTCACTCGCTTGGGATACGATTTGCCGTTTTTGCTAGCCTTTGCTGCGGTTTTCCAGCGTGCTGTAGACACGTTTTCTACTCGTTCGTCGTCATTCGCCGAAGAAGTTTTTTGAAGACTCTGTGTATTGTTGAGACTTGCCGTTGTGAACACGTGGAAAATTTTACGAAAGTGCAGTGTCGCAGGAAAAAGGCACAACGCGTCGAAAGGAAGGGCTGGTGGCGTGTTCAAAGCTTCTTTGGCACGCCGAAGTGCCGTGTCTCTGTGCCTTCGCACGCTTGGATACCGACCAAGAACCGACGCCGTGTGTATGTGTTTAGCGAGTGCAATGTGCGTGAAGCTGTTCGTGCCTCTGGATCAGCGTCTTTTCCCCTCGCGGTTTAGGAACGAGCTTAATCCAGCGTCCACTAGCGACGGAAGATGGGGGGAAGGTACGTCTTTTTTTCGTCCTTAGACGGTTTACACAATACCGTGCACAACAGCTCCTCATCACTGATCAGTGCTGGCTTATGATCAACCTACTTAATTGCACCTGACGTTTGAGCGCGGCTCGCCTAATTGTAATTGGTCAACAGACTGCACACGACCATATCGGCCCCGCTTCAAAGATTTTCATTCTCGCCGTCTTGTACTTTTGCTTTCGAAAACCCCCCTGGCTCCACAACGTTGCCCTATTCGTGCTCTTACGGAATCTATTAGAGTAGATTTGGGACATAGCCATGGTTAATATAGTACATAAGAACACGTGCAGATCTCCCCCTTTTATTGATAGCAACTCACCGGAACAGCTGGACGATCCAGAACTCCGTGGCCGGTATATAGATGATCTAAAGGCATCTACGCGCGACACACGTTCAGAACTTTGGCGCGGCGTCAATTCTTGACCGGTATCCAAGCGTGCGAAGGCACAAAGATGCATCACTCGGCGTGCCAAGGAAGCTTTGATCACGCCGCGACACCGGCGACACGTTTTCGACGAGTTGTACCTTTTGATACGGCTTCACGCACATTGCACTCGCTAAACACATTCGCACGGCGTCGGTTCTTGGTCGGTATCCAAGCGCGCGAAGGCACAGAGACACGGCACTTCGGCGTGCCAAGGAAGCTTTGGGTACGCCGCCAGCCCTTCCTTTCGACGCATTGTGCCTTTTTCCTGCGACACTGCACTTTCGTAAAATTTTCCACGTGTTCCCAACCGCAAGTCTCAACAATACACAGAGTCTCAAAAAACTCCCTCGGCGAATGACGACGAACGAGTAGAAAACGTGTCTACAGCACGCTGGAAAACCGCAGCAAAAGGCTAGCAAAACGGGATATCGTATCCGAAGCGAGTGAAGTCCGGTGGCTTCACTTGCGGGAGCGGCAAGCGCGATCCAGCAATTGTCATTGAGATCAGTGGCTCTCGCGTTGTCATCTTGCCTGAAGTTTTGCCGCAACCGTGGTTCATGCTGGTCCTTCATTGTGTGCTTCAAAAGTCTGTTTCCTTGTTTCTTAGTAGACAGTTTTAGTGGACCGTACGCTATAGCTTTGCGTACGCAAGGAGAATGCGGGTCGTGAGTGCGCATGCGCAGAACACAATAGAAGGGCTAGCGTATAGCGTACGCACGCAACGCTGGGGAATTTGCGTTGCTGGCTAGCGGGCCTTGCAGGACGCTCTCAAGAGATCTCGGACCCAACGAGAGCGTCAGTTTCGAGATGGCGGTTGCCTCGACTGGCGCAGCAAAGGCGACGTGGTGTTTTCGAAGTTCTGTGTTACGTGAAATTGCGTGGTGTTCAGCTCGGCGACCCTTTCTGGGACCTACCGCGGTCGAATCAGATCTCCCTGCAGCTGAAGGAGTGCAAAGTGGTCTGCTCAACGCTAAGCCTGTTCCTACAGTTCATCGCCGACGGATGAACGACTTTAAAAGAAATCGCCGAAGTTCTCGCTATGCACTGGACATCAGGGTCATTAATTTCATTCCGCGATAGCATTGATAAAAGGTGCTGTTCGCACGGGACGACTGACAGAGGCTCCGTGATTGAATTTGGCTACGCACTCGTACTCGTAGCCTCTGTACCCCGCAGAAAAGCGCGCTTGACAAGGCAGCTGTGGCTTGGTTTAATCTGAAATGAAATGATTGGACACTTTTTCTTTTTCAATATTTTTTTCCAGGAGCATGGTTGCGCAATAAGCGCGCGGAATTCTACGGCTCTAGCAAATTTAACCAAGATCATGCGCGGTGTTCACTCGAAAACGTAACGCACAACTAAATTCGGTCCGAGCAGGTCATTTTAGCGTACGCTATACTATTGCGTATTGCGTACGTAAGATCCAGCAACGCTATGCTATAACTGTCTAGTGACACTGATTCAGCACTGATGCATTCCTTATCAGCAGATAGGATAAGGTGGGCTTCCAGCACCTCGCGGGTCAGTTTGGCGTTGTGCCTCCCTAGGATGCTTGTTTCCCCGAATAGCGGACTGCATTTGCACTCATTATAGTGTGTTGCAAGATGGCCTCCTACTGTGGCTCTCAGAGAGTAATCATGTTCGCGTAGTCGATCGTTAAGGCATCTTCCCGTTTGACCGACGTAGCTCTTGCCACACGGGAGTGGTATATTATATACCACGCCTGAAATGCACGGAAGAAAAGGCTTGGCATGTTTCTTAGTGCACCAGTGTTCAGTGCACCAGTCTTCATCTTTGACAATGAAGATCCCGCACGAGCCAAGATTGATGCAAAACACCCTGCATGACGGCAACGTGTCGGCCAACAACGGATCTGGTGTTTAAACAAATGACCTGATGTTTGAAGCATGTGTCCGCCGAGGGAACACCCTAATATTTATTTTTCATCTTTCTTCTTTTTTCATCTTCAATGGGGGTGATGATTTTTTACAATGTTCTTCCTTCTCTCCATCTCAGTAAATATAGTTGTGAGTAGCAGCTCTTTCCTGTAACTTCTCTCTTCTCTCTACGTGTGCGCTAATACCGTGTAGATCTTCTTTCCTAAACTTGAATG